TACAAACAGCCTTCACAGTAGTTTTTCACTTTGTGATGATCCTATAATCATAAAGCGCTTATTCTTCCTTCGGTAACAACACCAGGCAGTATTTACCAGGGTCTTAAATCGGTGTTTTACACAGGAACCATGAGCTGCCACCCACATGACAAACCCAAATTGCCAAACAAAGTGACAAATAGCATGTCATGATCCTAAGGCACATGTGCAAACAATACACATTACACCAGTGACCACCCGTCTTCACTCATGCTCGCGTCAAAGAATCGCTGAAAGAGAGTCACGAAATGTGTTTTCCTGCCTTAAGGTGCTGTACGACAACCACACAACATACTCAAGTCGCTCACTCCGGTGCTTTACGGGACCACCTTTGGCTTTGTTTACAAAATGTGTTCCCTGTGACACTGTTTCAATGAGCTCATGTCGTTTATGTTCTCGCAGGGCTGCATTTATTATATTTGTGTCAAAATGGTGTATTGATGATAGTGGAGTCGCACTGTTGCATAAAGTCCTCTCAGGCAAATCCCACTGATTCTCTTGGAGGTTGTCAGGACTGCATGCTGACAAAAATCCACATCCAGAACCTCGATATCACAACTTTGGATCTATTTGTCCTATTGTTGTCCAAACCACAGTGGTTCCCAAAGCTGCTGCTTTTCATGCCCGATTATTATTTTATTTTTGACTAAGATCATCTTATGTTGAGAAATGAACTTAAAACTGTTTTGGTCAAATCTTGAAAATAATGTTATGCATGAAAAAGAGTAAAGTGGCTCAATCATCCAGGTAAATAAATCACCAAAAAGTTCAATCGTGTCATCTTGACAGCTTGTTTTTTGAAAGAAAACGTTTGGTCTTTCATTCGAAAGACTTCATCCGTCTGCCAACAGGATCTATTGTATTAATGTTGTGCATGGTTTTATGCAAAATAACAAGAGATCACATGCTTTGTTAGTGCTCAGAGCAGTGGCGTTTTAGCCTCTTTTTTAAATTTTAATTCAACACCCAAAAAAAAAAAAGAAACTCCATTAGGAATGTGTAAGGAAACTCAGTTCGCAAACCTTAGATTTAGCAAAATATTGAATAAATTTGGAATAAATGATGACACTCTTAAACGGGCCAGTAATTTTTTTTCTTTTTTTTTGCATGAATCAGATCCTTAACGCCACATGTCAATCAATCAAGCAGGCTAGTCAGCAGTTGACCAATCAGCGATCTCAATTGGTCCCAAAGGTAAACGCCCCTTACCTGCAGGAGCTCCACCCCTTTTCCTCCAACAACAAGGTTAGGGTTAATTATTTGAACAGTTGGAGGTCAGAGGGATTTTGTGAAAAATCATCAAGAAAAAATGGTTAAATGTCAGTGGAGAACGTAAATCAGACGGTGTTAGCCTGAGTGTTTAGAGGGTCGAATACAGTTTATTCCATTTCCAAAACCTAAAGTGACTCTGGAAAAATGTAAAAGATGGATAAAGACCAGCGGCTGACCTCATGAGCAGCTGAATACAAATTATAAACAGGAAGTACCACATGCTCATCTGTACAAAGGTAACTACAAGTAAATCCTCCATTTTCTGTCATAATTACATTGTATTTATGGTTAAATAAAATGTTCATGCTTAAAGCTAGTTGTGCGTTGTATTGTGTGTTTTATATGTAGATATATGTTGTAACTTCTGGTTGCATATGTTTAGTGTTTGTGTTTTATGATCCGTTAAAACTAAACTGATTTTTTACAAAGCGTTTATTAGGTTGCGTAATGTAAAGCGGAGCATTACGTATGTAGCATCTTAGCTAGCTCGTCTGTATTGCACGCCGCTAGCGCTACTTCTTATTGTGCCGTGCTCTCTAAAATAGTTATTGAATCAAGTGTTTACTTATGTAGGTAAACGTAGATGTTAAACAACTCGATAAAATACACCAGAATGCAGGAAATTATATACTATATTCAAAAATGTCTGCTTCTCATGCCAATGGCCACTGCGTTGGGTCAAGAGCCATTGGCAGCACTGGGGGCTGAGAACCCCTAAAGGTCAGATTCTAGCATCGCCCCTGGCTCAGAGTATGTACAGGTCTCTCTAGAAAATGAATCTTCGTGACTCAGTGAGACTAACCTGTATAAATAAAGGTTGAATTAATGTGCTGGGGATGACTCTCAGCAACAAACACACCAGATTTTAACTTTATTCGTAAAATTGACTGAGTTCTAGTCCTTTTTGTGTTGGGCAAGACTAATCGGCTGTGGCAGACATCTTGAATTACATTGATTTCAAATGTTAATCAGTACATTGAATAATTACAATTTTTCTTTAAGAAATTTCCAACTGGTTCATGAGATATTTTGCTACCAGACTGACATGGGTGACTCCAGTAGTTGTTGTCAAAGTAATAAACAAAGCTCTTATGCATCATGTTGGTGCTCGCTCAGAATAAGGGTTGAGGAGGACTCTCAACTACTACCATACCAAATTTTAGCTCAAAATCTGTAAAACGTATTTAGTTATAGGCGTTTGTGTTTGCTAAAGTTGATTAGTTTTGGCAGCCTTTAATCCAGATATTAGTCAGAGGTAAACATACTGATTATGTTTTTAAGTTTCAATATAATCTGTCGTTCATAAGATATTTTGCTACGAGACGGGAGAATAATCTTGCACAATCTGTTTCCACTTGGAGTCAAATTGCTCTAGACGTAAAACCAGTGATTACTTTCAATGAGTTTTATTCAAATCTGTCTGCTGGTTCATGAGATAATTTGCAGACGTGAATAAACACACACACCTTTATTGCCTTTCAGCAACAGGTGATTATTCCTGGTAGCATTTGCTCCACTATATTTGCAACAAAATAAGTCATAAATGAATCTTAGCAATGACTGTTCAAACTGTGTTGTCATTATGCTTCTGTTAATTTGGCTTTTTGACAATGTCTGTATGGTTTAATCAGTGATGGGTCACACATATTTGTCCTTGACATTTTATGGGTCAGATTCTGAAATTTTTCAGAGGGAAAAATAAGCTGCTCACGAGCAGTATCAATATCCTGACTATTTATCGCCATTTATCCACTAAATGTGGATACAACCAAAGGGATGTTGTTTTCAAACAGGAAGTCGGTCCCAGCAGTCCTTCCCTCGATTTTATCTTTGAATGGTGTCATTGAGTTTGTCAGTTCTTACAAATACTTGGGCATTTTAGTCAATTTGCATCTCTTTTAAAACTTGGTAAATAATCTGACAGTAAAACTGGGTTTCTTTTTTAGAAATATATCGTGTCTAACTCGGAACACTATGAAACGTCTTGTAACTGTGACTTTCCTTCCCTCCATTGATTACAGTGACATGATTTACATGAACTCTCCTACAAGCACCCTGCAGATGTTGGATGCTGTTGATCATGGTGCACTAAGATTCATAGCTGGCTGTAACTACCATATCCATCACTGCACCCTGTATTCACTGGTTAACTGGACATCATTAACGTCACACAGACTCTCTCACTGGTACATTTTCATCTTTAAATCACTTCTTGGTCTGCTGCCTTCATACATCTCCTCCTACATGTCTCTGCGTGAGTGCAGCTACAGCGTGCGCTCCCAGGACATTATTACCTGCAGTGTCTCCTCAGTGAGGACTGAACTTGGCAAAAGGGCCTTCTCCTGCTCCGCTCCTGTTTCCTGGAATATCTTACAAAAAGACCTGAAGCTCTCGACCTTGACCTCTCTGTGGCTTCAAACATCTGTTAAGTTCATTGCAAAAACCAACGCAGACATGTTCCTGTTTTTCATATTTTACACCTCCTTATAATGTAGCTGTTTCTTTTTTTAACATCATTTTATCATTTTCTTCCTTTTTTTTTTTCAATTTGTATGCCTTATTGTAAATGGTTGTCTATTGTTGTTATTTTTCTTTGTTAAAAACAGGTCTCTCTTGTAAATGAGTAAATGTATCTACATTTTTATTCAACCTTTATTTATACAGGTTAGTCTCATTGAGCCTCGTGGACTCATTTACACGAGAGACCTGAATGGTATATAGGTGTCTGTCCGTCCGTCCGTCCGTCCGTCCGCCCGTCCATCCGTCCGTCCGTCTATCTATCTATCTATCTTAGGTGTGTGTGTGTGTGTGTGTGTGTGTGTGTGTGTGTGTGTGTGTGTG